TTGTAATAGTACCCCTAACACTAACCCTAACTTCAACCCTAATCGTAAACCTAACCCCGATGATTTTAAGCACAACCCTAACGACAAACTTACCCGAGACCCACAATCTTAACTGTCAATTTATTCCTAACCCTAACCCTAACATCGAATGTAAATACATTTTTTGTAAAAATTATTTCTTGCTACTAACAGAATATATGTCGATCGCGATAGACCAAGGTATTTCGGCATAGAGATATAGCCTTATATGCTATTGTGCGGATAAAGGATAAAGAAAGTGGATGAAAGTTAGTCTAACTCGCATTATTTAGAATGAATTGTTTATTTAGTAGCTAGGATATCCGTTTTGCCAAATTCACTGCGCGAGAGTATATACTTGTGATCTGGCAAACGGCGGCTGTCTCAGAGCCTGGATTTTAATTTGAAACCGCGATGGTATCGTATGAATGTAGCCTTTTGTTAAACTTTTAGTGAGACCCGCAAATTAAAAACTGTACATTTCCAAATACCCTTCCTTATTAGCAGCCGATATAGCCTTTATAGCAGCCGAGGTTATAGGTTAGAATATGTTACTGAGTCCTCGCAAGTTCAATCGGGTTACTGATAATAATTATTTGTATCAGGCTATTATGTACTCTTGATTTGTATGTATCCAGGCTAGACTCATGTCAGCTCGCAGTAGCCGTGATCGTATAGTGGTTAGTACCTTGCGTTGTGGCCGCAATAACCCAGGTTCGAATCCTGGTCACGGCATAGCTACTCCGTAGCAATATCATGGCATGAGTGCGACTTTTGGTAATTTATGGTAAGTTTGTTTCTCATTCAACTATAGTAATTGCGTATACATGTCTGACTATGTTTTACCAGAATAATATTTAATATTTGCCGCAAGACTAGGATTTAACATCCAGCCATATCTAGGACCAATCCGCACAAGTGCGCGCACACACACGCACGCACGCACGCACGCACGCACAGACGAACGGATGCACACATGCACGCACATGCGCACACATGCATGCACGCACAGACGCACACGCGCGAAGGCTCTGTATCTAAAGCTCTGCTTTGTAAGAGACCACTGAAGAAGTTCAGTACTCATAGTACTGTAAATTAAATACACATCCTCACCCTTGTATGTTGGCTAACTGCTCTTCTGCTCTACGGTATTATACCAAATTAAAAACAAAACTCAAGCCTTTGGTGTTACATCAGCTCCCATCACCAGCTCAGGTGCTCTGTAGATTGTCGTACCCTTGAGCGTCTTGTCTCGCGTAGCGGCAAGATTTTCGCCCAACTTTTGGCTACAACCGAAATCCGAAATACCTAGCTTGCACGTGTCTGCAGATGACATGATAATGACGATATTAGCTGGCGTGATGTCGAAATGTGCAATGTGCTCGCCGTGTATGATTCGAGCGTCGATGCATTTTGCCTAGCGAACATTGCCTTCGCTCGCACCTAATAGTGACGTGGCATTGACGAAATGCTGTGGATTACAGTTTTCTTCATACTCCATAGCCATGCATCAGGAACAATTATTGTCTAGTGGTGTCCGTCACACCACAAACAGCAGAAAGACGACGCGGTACTATTTCAGTCCCAACGTTTTTCGTTCAGCATAGTAGTTTATTTCTATACTGTGTCGCTCTTTGTGTGTTCGTGCAACATCTTTGCTGCGACTCTCTTTCCGACGTACATGCGAGATGGATGTATCCGAATTCCACCTGCCCTAATAGCTGCAGCGACGGAAACTCCAATGTTCGCATTTGGTTGAACAGCTTTGTATTTCATTTGCGAAATCCAGATAATTGCACTCACTGGTGACGGCTGTAAGTCAGTTGATGTCGAGGAGGAAATTGATTGGTTTGTCGGCTATCGGGCTAGCCACCAGTGAGACAATGAAGCTATAATGCCGATCTATACGCGTCTCGCCACAGGCATGGCTATACTTACAATCCTCAGCAACATAAAAATAATTTTGTTCAGGCAATTGTACTTTTAAATTATCGTGCATGTTCCCATCAATCATTTTCTTACTCATAAGTTGCCCAGTACTTATTTTCCTCGTAACGTCGCGTGGGACGTCTTTAAACACATACCCAGTGTCTCCGGCATTGTCTAAGGAAGCTCCGCACTTTCCTTTCCAGGTACTCGGTTTAGCGTCGGGTTGGCGGACTTAAGGGTAGCGTCAGGTTGCGTCGACAAATAACACGAACACAGTATTATAAAAACTACTCTTCGTGCGTCTATTACACCACAGAATATTCGTCTACAGGTGGCTTGCACTTTCACAGTCTACACAAACAACTCTACGATACTACACAGAAGTCTACACACCGACAGAAAACGTAATCGAATACAGGTAATTTCGTACCTTAGAGTGGGGGTTTCGCGAAGAAGCTCGGCGAAGTGAAGGTGATGAGAGGAAGGAGGATTTAAGGAAAAGGGTGTAGGAGACAACAAGGAATTTCACGAGCTCGGACAAAACTGGACTATACGGTTCAAAGGATGAGGGCTGAGTCAGCCTCTACCTGCGCGTTTTACATCAACAAATCCGGTCCCTAATAGATGACGCAGGTGCCATCACGGCGGAATCACCAATATGTGTCATGGCGTGATTTGTGGTGATTGCGTGCCGTGCGGCGAACTAATGTAGAATCATGGGAAACTATAAATATGAATGCTGTGTGTAGAAGCATACGCTTTCCTACAATTGCATAATATATTTTAAATTATATGTTCATACCGTTGAGCAAATACTCGGCGCAGTCGCTTGATATGAGAGTTTAATTCCTCCTTGTCAATCCTGTTTCTGCCAGGGCACGTCTCCACTCGGGATTCTTTTCTAATAGACGGAAACTTAAACCCTTGTTGCGTCCTGAACATGCACCACAACCAACTATGGTACAGCATTTACCATGCATGGTCAATGACTAAGAGAAAATAATATAATAGTATGACTGAAAACGTCAACAAATATGCACAGCAGGCTCTGGCCTATGCTCTGGCATTGCTAAGCTTAGTGCCAGAAGCAGGGCCGAAAGTGAAGAGTACCACTAACGGTATCGCCACCTACAAACGCCACATCGGCAGTGGAACTAACAAGTCAGCTATCCATGTGTTGTATATATCTATGGTTGATACAAATCGCGTGCTTGAAACTCCTGTTTTATGGTGCATTGTGACCCTAACCCTAACCCTAACAAAAACAAAACAAAAATTATTTGTTGTTATTAAATTGTTGTAAATAAATCATGTAAATATTTGCGTTAATTGGAAAAAAATTGTTAAATGGATAAAGATAGAAAAATACAGAGAACAGGTAAATAATAAAATATCTTATGGGATTTGATCCAACGACCTTTGATCCGTGACGTCTGTGCTGTACCCGTTCGGCTATCCAGGCTTATTGGCTTTCTAGATTATGGATGTGCCATGAATATGAGAACACTGTGACATCATTGAGGCAGTTCAAGAATCCATGTTTAACCCTCCTCTTGAGGGTCAAAAGGCTACCAGACACTTACTCTTCGCACGTCAGTGGAAAGCACATTTCATGGTTCTTTCAATAAAGTGATAAAAATGGTAGGTCAGCGCTGATACAAGAAAGTTTTTCACTCTGTCCATTAGGCCATGTCCTCAAAAAATGTCTGATATCTGACCTTTCCCCCACTGCCCTTTGACCTGTGAGCTCCAATTTCGCACTGGTGATGGGTTTCCTCCCCATCACACTATACACCGAATATTAAGAGCGTAGGTCGAGCCGTTGAGATTTGTGCCGCAATTCCGTATTTTCTCCTATACCTTAAGTTAAGGGGAAAATATTCCCCCTCCGTTTACACATCTTGACCTTTGACCATTGACTCCCAAATTTGTCATCCCGAGTCCTTTTCACAATCCCCCCCCCCGACGTCCCGAATATCGTGACCGCACGTCGAGCGGTTAAGATTTGTGCCCAACTGTTGACGGACGGACGGACGGACGGACGCACGATCTTGCGATTCTACAAGCTGCATCTGACTACGTCAGATGAGCTAAAAATGATAAGCATGCAAGTACTCGGCGCAGTAGCTTGACTGGCCGATGCCCCGTTCTAGTAATCAGAGGGTGCCCTAGCAGACGTAAAAGTATAAATAAATTAAGTTAGCCAGTAGTATCGCGCAAAACGATGACGTAGTTAACAACGAAATGGCGATGTGGTATTTATCTACTAAATGACGCACCGTAAGCACGCACAGACGCACGCACGCACTAAAAGGGCAATGTATGGAAATGCATTCCAGCACGTACGTGCGCTGCCGGCAAGAGTCAATGTTCAGAAGAACTATCGACCATGATAATATGCGCAGGTAACATGAATACGGAAATATACATAAAGTAGATGAAGCTTGGTCGAAAGGCCCTGCTGTCGACAAGCCAGCTACGCCTATAGGTTCAAACTGGAATGACGTATAAGCGAGCCAGTAGATATCTGCGTATCGCGTGCCATTGATCCTTTCAGGATCATTCGAGAACCATTTACACAGCTTAATTGCCTCTGACACAGCTCGCCGCCACCATGCACACACACACACACACACACACACACACACACACACACACACACACACACACACACACACACACACACACACAGGGGGAATTTTTACTTCACCTGGGATTTCCCGTCTCCGGTACTGCATCACAATTTCTCGTAAACCAGCGATGCGTTTATAGTTCCGGATACCTCCGATAAACCTACGTAAATTACTGCACATACTGCCAATCCCTCACCATTCAATCCGCCCCCGCCACCACCACCACCACGTGTGCTGACGCATTTAACCGTGGATGGTGTGTACATAATGGCACAGCTATACAGGTGCTTCTGAGAACTTCGCTGTATTTTAGTGCGCCAGTTGGACTCCCATATAAAAGCCCAGACGAGCACTTGCGAGTAAATTATTCACTGCCTAGCGTTCACCGGAACACATCGATTTCGCACCTTATACGTCAACATGAGACTGAATGTTCAGCTGCGATCGGCGATTGTTATTGTCGTTCTGTGCGGTAAGTTTCATATAAAATGCTTAACTCCTTTCCTTATTGTAATAGTACCCCTAACACTAACCCTAACTTCAACCCTAATCGTAAACCTAACCCCGATGATTTTAAGCACAACCCTAACGACAAACTTACCCGAGACCCACAATCTTAACTGTCAATTTATTCCTAACCCTAACCCTAACATCGAATGTAAATACATTTTTTGTAAAAATTATTTCTTGCTACTAACCGAATATATGTCGATCGTGATAGACTGCAAGGTATTTCGGCATAGAGATATAGCCTTATATGCTATTGTGCGGATAAAGGATAAAGAAAGTGGATGAAAGTTAGTCTATTATTTATAATGATTTGTTTATTTAGTAGCTAGGATATCCGTTTTGCCAAATTCACTGCGCGAGAGTATATACTTGTGATCTGGCAAACGGCGGCTGTCTCAGAGCCTGGATTTTTGCCATGGAGACACGAGCAATAATCGTTTGACTGGCCCTATCTAGTATTACACATAACCGGTTCCCAGCGAGAGAAAATGTTACTAGTCAAGGTTGTTGGCGCGTGGATTACATATCGGGCCTATTACCATTTAGTAGAACGTTCTAAAGATCAATTGAAAAGAAACGAAAATCGCTCCAATGCATTTATTTATCACACAAAAACTATTTGATGAAGGAAATGGCACAATGGGATAACAATTTGACAGTGTGAAAGATTTTTTCTTGTTTTCTGATAGTGGTTTCTATTCAAAAGCTCTTTAGCTAGGAGCGCATAAAATTATGTTTGTACCCCTTCCCCCTTGATTGCAAGGAACTCCAGTAACATTACATATAATAATTATTATACTCACGAGAATTCGTCGACTGAAATCATCCGGCTACTTCTCGTTGTCTACTACAATTTTATGGATTGGAGAAGAATTACGTACGTGCGCGCTGTTATCGCGGCCGCCCTCTTCTTTCTCTCCCTCCTCCCTCTCTCTCCCCCCACTCTCCCCTTATATTCTCGCTCTCTCGCTCTCTTTCTCTCTCTCTCTCTCTCTCTCTCTCTCTCTCTCTCTC